AGCTTTTTTCTTTCTATTTCATCTTTAAATAAGCAATTGTCTCTTGTTAGTTGTCTTAACATATTAAAATGTGAAGGTGGTGGGGTGTTTGAAAAAAAATAGAAGTTAGAAATTTATTTATTCAGATAAATTAGATATAAAATCATTGTTTAAGGACTTATTTGATGTTTTGACAATAGTTTAAGGGTAAAATTAAATAATGATATTTTTATTAACATTTTCACGTCATCGGCTTAACAGAGATGATGATAGAGTGATCGTTTTGTTATTAATCGATAACATTGTTGACCAAATTTTTACTTTTGAAACTCTAGTAGTGAAAACAAAAATTTACTCAAATATTAATGATTATTTGTGTAATTTACCCTAATATTTATCATCGTTTAAACTAATACAGTGATTTGTATTCAGTTACTACTTACTATCATATGAAATCAAACTGGCTAAATGCACGTCTATAGGTATTAATGAATGGGTAAATTACACCATTCATCATTGAATTTTACACTCTTATTCATTGAACTTTCAATTTTTCTAATTTCTTTATTGAACTTTATAAATTGAATTTTTTTTATCACTCGACCGTTAACTTTCTAACGCCGACAGTGATGAGAACAAGAGCATCACTTACAATCTGTTGTGCCTCGTCGATTCCGACTAGATCAACCAACAGTCTCTGGTATTCTTCGACGAAGTATTGTAATTGGCGAATACAATATTTATCTGTCAATGCATCGTTTCAAGAAATATAGGCTAAATGGGTCTGATAGTATCACACTGCCATGGAAACAATGAGCATTTAAGGAAGTTCCATTTTAAAATTTGAGATTTAAATTTCGATATTTATAATGGAAGTTCCATTGTAAAGGAAATGTAGAGAAGTTGCAAATTGAATAAATGTAGAGAAGTGGCTGGTGGGACTAGGGATGTAAACGATGCGAGACGAGTTCGAGTATTGTTGAGCTCGACTCGATTCGAAAATTCTGAAATAAAGTTCGAATCGGTTCGAAAAATCACGAGATTAAAATTTTCAAGTTCGACTGGAACTCAAAACCACGAATTGACGAGGCACAACAGATTGTAAGTAATCATTGCTAATAAAATCTTAATATATTATATTTTCGAGTTATTCGTGAGATTTTCGAGTCGAGTATTAAGTGGCTCGTTTCGGCTCGTTAAGAATTCGAGTCGAGTATTTATCGAGCTTTGATCGAGTCGATTTCGAATAACTCACGATTTATCTCGTCTCATTTTCAGTCCTAGATGGGACAACGGCTAGAAGTGCCGATGCCGTAGGGAAGTGAATCAACTGGAGCAATGATTGCCAAGTAATTGTTATTGCCATTATCAACCAGAGAATCACCAAATAAGAAAAAGGCCCCGAGGCAACTTCAAGTTGAATCATGGTTGAAGTTATCATCGAAAGGCCAAAAGCCATCAATGAAACCAGAACCACTTGATCATTGGTCCCCAACGAAGGTGGCCAATAGTTTTCAAAATAGCTACCGGCGTGATGACCGGAATTTGGGTTCAAATGACATTGGTGAGAGAAATGGAGAGAGATGGGGAGAAGGAATAAAGAAGGAAAGAGTAAAGATAAAGAAAATAAAAAAAATATTTTTTATTTAGATCAAAGTAAGTCATTTTGGTCTAAATTTAATTTTATATAAGATCCAAAACTACGTCGTTTTGGCATTGATTGCCACATCATCACACCGTTAGCAAGTTAACGGTCGAATGATCAAAAAAATCAATATATAAAGTTCAGTGAATAAATTAAAAAAAATAAAAGTTCAATGAGTTAAATAGGATAAAGTAAAGTTTAGTGATAAATGTTGTAGTTTACCGTTAATGAATTTATTATAATATATTATATATGTATTATATTTTATGTAATTATGTTAAAAATAAAATCACCTGAAACATTATTCAATTATAAAGATTATTTAAAATAATTTATTTAATTATTTTAGTTATAATTATTGGTATCTGGTCTATTGATCGACAATATTCAATAAAGATTATTTAAAGTAGTTATTCAGTGATGATGTTTTGTGTTACACAAGACGATGCCCATTAACTATAAAAAAACACATTTTTTGTATCTTCTAGTGTAGTTTTTTTTAAGGATAAACAAAATTTGATTTGGTTTGAAAAATTATTTTTTAAAAATTTTCAGTTATTCGAGTCAATTCGAAGTATCAGTTCAATTTTCAAGTTGAAGTTGAAATTTGAAATTTTTGAGTTACTCGAAAAATCAAAATTTGATTGTATTTTAATAGTTTTACTATTTCGTCCATACTTTCATTATTCCTTCAATTCATCCATTATTTTAAGTCTATTTTTAACCAAATTTAAATCGTGTGCTCCTAAACTATCGTAGAATACATGTCTACTTTCAATTCTTTTTCTCAATAGAAATTTTTTCTTTTTTTTCAATTTAATCCCTTAATTTTTCATAATTTTCTTATTTCTTTAGCTCATCCTTTATTTTAAATCTGTCATTTACTAAATTTGAAACACATATTCATGTTTTACTATAGAATACCTATGTAAGTTCAATTAGGAGTGTTCAAACGGTTAAATCGATCACCGATCGAATCAAATCACTATTAATCGAATTAACCGAACTTTTTTCTTTAACCATTAACCGAACCAATTTTTTTTTAAATATTAATTTAATTTAATCATAATAGAAATATTTTTTTATTTGTGTTAAAATTTAATTAGGTATTGATAATTTAATAAATTTAGTGTGGTTAAAAAATAACGGATTTTAATTCTTAATGGGTTTAAGCTTAAAATACGGATTTAGTATATACAAAATATTTAATATTTAATAATTTAGGTTAATTCGGTTAATTAATCAATTTCAAACCAAATTAACCGTTAATCGAATTCTAAAAAAAATATTAATCATTCTCTGACCGGATTAATTCGATGACCGACCGAATTAATCGAACTAATTCAGTTATATTGGTTAATTCGATTAAAACCTAATAGTGAACGCCATAACTTCAATTCCTTTTTTTAATAAAAATATACTCTATTTAGACCCTTAACATTGCATTGTACTCAATTTAGTCTTTTGATTGCAATTGTTTGCAAATTCTTTCTTCCCAACAATTCTTTGATTCTTTTATATTCTTATCAATATTTTACCTTCAAAATAAAGAAAAATATAATATTATAAATATATTTAATAATTTTAGATTTTATTTTATATATTAAATAACACTATAATGTGAAAAATATGAAACATCTATATATCTTATATGGTTAGAAAAGTTAAAAAAATTAAAATGACCTTACCATAATACTACAAATAATTATAATAAAATTTGCATAGATACTCGAATAATTCAATTCAAATTTATTAAATTCAACTTGACTCGAAAAAAAATTCAAGTTAAATTTGAATTATAGAATGCAACTCGCCAACTCAAATAACTCAAAAAAAATTTTACTCAACTCGACTCAATCGAATACTCACCCCTACTTTTAAGTAGTCTAAGGTAAATACCATGGTTATTAAAACCGGATCGGACCGGCCGGTTGAACCGGGAACCAGTTGCCTGCCCTATCCGGTCACCTTCCAAAACCAGTTTTGCAATGAACCGACTGGGAATCGGCAAAACCGGTGTGAACCACCGGTTCTGTTTTTTTAAAAAAAAAATTAAATCAAACGACGTCGTTTATTATGATTTTTTAGAGGTGTTCAAAATTCGGTTTTAAGTTTAACCGAATTAACCGACCGAACCGAATTAGTTCGGTCGATGAATGATTAAGAATTTTTTTGGAATTCGGTTAACGAAATTAACCGAATTAAACGAATTAACCCTTAAATATTTTTTCACCCCCATTATATGATGCCCCCCACTTCCTTTATGTGCTCCTCGATTATCAATTCTTTTCTGTCTTGATTTGTGTAAGGCATGGGCACGAGATGGGCAGGTGGAGCATAGGCAAAAGCGTATGGTGGAACATGAGTGAGACAGCAGCATGAGACTACGCTTTTAAGGGTTGGGAAGCATTATATTAGTCTTTTGTTTCTTTATCGTTTGCTTTGCAACTCTATTTGTTACATTTTGTAAAAATATATAGCCTTTTAAGTTATATAATTATATTTATTATTTAATATGTTTTACCTTAAATATTATTTTGAAGTTGATTTTAATAATTTTATTTCATTTGATTTTATAGTATTTAACTTATATATGTTATGACTTGTTATATTTTTATACCTTTTAATATTATAAACTTAAAAAAAAGTGTTTATATATATATATATATATATATATATATATATATAATATTGCTTTGAATCTTATGTAAAAATTTTAAAAAAATATATTATTTTATATAAACCGATTCAACCCGATTAAACCACGATTGAACCAATGAACCAATACCTTCACCGGCTTAAAATCCTATCCGATTTAAAAAACATTGGTAAAATACAAAATAATACATATTTAAAAGATTTTCAAACATTTAACAATAAATATTCATACATTCTTGTAAACATGATGCTTAATAATTCATTAATCACTGAAATTATTTGATTTATACTACTACCACAATTAAATAAACAATATAAAATTAAATATTTATTATGGAAAATATAATTTTTACGCAATTACGATAAATCATTATGCTTAATTACATAAATTATGGCATTTTCACCCTAAGAGAACCACAAATATAATGGCAAAAAAATAATAAATTATATATTAAACTAGACGCTAATTTTTTTTTAAATAAAATCATTTGAAAATAACTATATATGCAAATTATATTTTTAAATTTTAAAACAAAAAGGCTCTAAAAAAAATTGCAAAAATCGAGTCAACTAAATACAAGAATGACAAATTTATCACTGAAAAAAAAACCTTAAATTTTAAACATGACATGTATAATCTCACTACGGAATTTTTTTTTCTAAATTAAAAACCCTATACACATGTCAAATATTACCCCATGATAGGTATAGATATTCATCAAAAGACAACCAAGTTCATGCAATTCAAGAGGGCAAGAAATATGTTGAAATATAAATCCTACATTAGAAAAAGTCCATATTAGGAAGGTCAGCCTATGACTGCATGATGAGGGCGAATTTTTTCTGATTCCAACAGAACAAATATAGAAGATGATCACCGGCAACCGAAGTTCTAACATGGATGTCACAGGTCAAACAATATCTCGAATGACTCACCGCAGAAATAAACTATTACGACTTCGGCACGGTCACATTTAAGATTTTTACATCTTGGTATGGCTTGTCGGCTTTGTCCGTCTTCACTTTTTCAATACCCTGCCAACAGTGTTTCAAGAACAGAGCCTATTAATCCAAAGCCTCCAATATTTCATATATTTTTAATCGCTCGAAAAGCAGAGCGACGAACATGCTGTGTCCTCTCATACGTGTACACGTGTTCACAGAAAAGAAAGAAATGAACTTTAATAAGCACAATAGCTAGATAATACTGATTGCAGAGATATAAATACCTGTACTACATCCATTCCCTTAACAACTCTGCCAAATACTGTATGCTTATTGTCCAGCCATGGGGTAGCCACTGTGGTTATAAAGAACTGTGAGCCATTTGTATTTTGGCCAGCATTAGCCATCGACACTGTGAACGGCCTGTCATGTCGTAAACTGCAAGCATAGAAATGTTTCATGCAGCGGTCAGTATGTCGAAATGTTTAATCCACGTGGTCCTCTGATTAATGTACCAAATTCATACTTGAAAATTCTAGAAGATTACAAGTGCCAGGTGGAAAATTTCTACTGCTAATCCGTAAAAAAACTAAAATGGTTACCTTTTATGAAACTCGTCCTCGAATTCCCTTCCCCAAATAGACTGCCCACCAGTGCCATCTCCTAATGGATCTCCTGTTTGTATCATGAACCCTTTGATGACACGGTGAAAGATTAGATTATCGTAATAGCCATTCCGACAGTGTGTAGTAAAGTTCTCCACAGTTTTTGGACATTCTTCTGGGTACAGTCTCATGTGAACATCACCCATCGTGGTGTGCAGTATCTGGATGAATGGAGCACTAATCAGAAAATAATCCAAGGCATGCACATAAAGTGAAGAGAATGAACTAAACTATGTCAGAGGATAAACTTGAAAGAACCCTCTACTGCAAAAAAAGGGGGGGAGGTAAGAGGATGATATGGTAAAACTAGCACCGGTTTTGGCAGAACTATTTCCAAACTTTAATTCAGGTATTTTGCGCACCATTGCAATAAAAGATTTCACAGTAATTAACCGTTCCCCAAATGCCGATAACGTTTTTAACTTCTAAACAAACTAACCATTTATGTCAAATGTAGACAAAAGATTTTGAATCAGAACAAAGATTTTTTTCTACTTAACCACTCTGAACAGGCTAATAACCTTTGAACTTCTAGAAGACAAATTAATTGACTATTTCCGGAAAACAAAAAGGAGGAAGAGAAAGAGAGGGAGGTTATAAACGAGATCCTTTGGAATTCTGTCCCAATTGCTATCTTATAGAAGTGTCAAACTAAATCATTCTGAATAACTAAACTAAAAATAAAATTGGGTATGCTATATCATGTCACTGCTTTTACGTTCTCAAAGCCTCTAATAAAGCTCTCCTCATTTTTATACACTTTCTTTACTAAACATTCTTATGATAATTATTGAGAACGGAACCAAGGAGGGCACAACAATTTCTATTTTCCTTTTCCACGCACATTATGGAAAAAATGCTCACCACATTGTCAGGAAGAGAAGTTGTAACTGCTTTTCCAATATCAGATACAGCCAAAAGCTCATCAGCAGGTGGCTTTTCATTAAAGACATCCCTTCCTTTTGTGGCGTCTTCAGGTTCTTCTGGTTCTCTTCGACTGTAAAAATCATTATAAACCATCAGCACAATCATATGTATCCCAAAGATCAAAAACAATATTAACTACAAACTCTGAACAGGAACCTCAATAGTTACGATGAAATTTAATTTAAATACAGCCACTGCAAGGCACTTAAGCCAGACATCTGACAATGTTGTCAATATAGATGACAATGAACTATCACACTTGATTATGTTATTCATACAAATTTACATACTGCTATGAGCCTATGACATAATAACCCACCATCCATTAAGACTTTAATACATGAGTATCTCAATGGTGATTCAACCATGTAGCATGAAGCATTACTCAAGAATTCTAAATCCAAAAATGCTGTTACCAGCTAGTAGAAGCCCTGCTAAGATTTGTATACCTGAATAAATAGATCCTATGCTTCTTGAAAGCACAACACAAGAGGGTAGGATCCGTTAATGGCTCTTTACTTTCATTGACATTTGCTGCCGCAGCAGGAATTTTCCTCACTTTCTTGCTGCTTTGATCACCTTGATATAATGCAATTCTCAAGAATCTGTCATTGCTCTCCACCTTTCCAAGTATTCGAGCAACTTTATTGGTGTGCAAATTTACCATCTATCAAGATGATATATAAACAAGTATTAGGGAATTATTAGAGCATAAAATTTGTACTTATTGCTTAATCTAAAATAGTCCAGCTTGTTATTTGCTGTAAAATCCATTAAGAAGAAAATAACTTCTTACTTTTATCCCCAGAAGAGTAGCATATATGAGGAAATTAGAGCTCTCGTCAAAAACTGCATTTGGTTGTGGTGCAGTTTCAGTATTTTCAATTTCCTTTTCAACAGCCATTCTTCTGCCAAAGTCTATAGCTTCCAGCCGATACATGGGAGCATCACTTCTCTGAAGATCTTGGGCCACCTAATCAAAAGGGTTCTAAGATCAGTGATAATTCCAGAAAAAAGGGTTAATATAAATATCTATCATTAACTAATTTCTACCTCAAGTGATTCATCATAAACTCGCCTTAATTTTCCATTTCTAAACCAAAAGACACGTATTCTGCGATCAGGCGATGTAATAGCAAATTGCTTACCGTCTGGGCTGACCTGAATAGCAATAAAATGCAGCAAAGAAAGAATAAAAAATTACAAAAAACTTTCAAAAGGATTTTAGCCATGAATTTCCAATAAAACCCAACTTGAATATTGTACCTCAATTGAAGAAATAGCTGTCTTGCATTTTGCAATTTCAAAGAGATTAGTATCACTTTTCAATCTAAAATTGACCCTGCATGCAACATAAATACCAATTATGAAATAGGGAACCATGTGCATCTACAAGTGAAATGCTCAACATGTCAACACCATAATCAGAGTACAGTATTGGCATGTAATAACCGAAAGAAAGTTTCTAGAGTAATCTGTAATCCAAACAATAAACAATTCATATCTAACTAGAAGTAATCTGTAAATCCGTATAATTGAAGTACAATGTTAATGATTGCATATGTGAACATCAGGACATACTCGCTTTCTGGGAACTGAAGTGTGGCAGGGTTCCAGTACTCGATAAGTCCCTTCTCGTCACCAGATATTACAATGTCAAATGCAGAGTTGTACCTGATTACTTTCACTGGGCCCAGGTGTATCTGGAAAATATGATTCCAAGTAGGGAAAGCAAAACAGAAATTGGTGAACTTGAAAACAAACATGAAAGCAGAAAAGTTTTAAAAATTCAAAATCATGCTCTTTTAACATTGTATGGATACCTCTCTTGAGATAATGGGTTCATTTGAACCATCTCGTGCATCATATATATGGACCATTGATGAATCTCTATCACTAATGGCAAGCTTAGCTTTAACATCACCTTGCTTGTAGACCCATTCGACAGCACTAGGAACATAAGGTAAGCGAATCATGACCATCATGTCATAGTTGACCACATCATATACCTTCACAGAACGGTCACTGGAAATTGTACAGCAAAGTAAACCATCTGCACTAACCTGCATAGATGAAGAAGTCATGGTTGATGACTGCACCAACAACAAGATCATAGAAAATAGAATGAAGAATGATAAACACTCGAGAAAGACAAAGGGTGGCGAGGATTCAAATCATTCAAAACAACAAAATGCAGAAACATCCATAGAGTTCAACCATTCACTTCAGAGAGACGTATCTTTTACATCAAACCCATGCATAGGAACTATGGAGAGAGAAAGAAAGAGAGAAGTGAAAAAATCTAAACCATACCGATTAACAGCCTTGAACTGCACCCTTGTATTTTATAGAAACGTCAGTTTTCATATTACAATAGCATAATGCTTAAAAATCTTAATTACGACATTGTTGGTACTTGGTAATAAACAGCTCCTGAAGCAAATGAATGATTAAAACATTAAAATGATATAGCAGTCCTTATAGTTCTCTACATCTGTAAAAAGCAATCATGGAATGAACATAAAAATCAGCACATCCAAGAGACTAAAAGTCACAGTATGGAAAAAGATAACAAATAGACTATGCAAAACTTAGGTGGACTAGTAATCTAAAGCAAGATGGTCCTCGGTCACAAAATAAGAATGCACTATCAATTAGAAACGTATGACATTTAGCACTATCAATTAGAAACGTATGACATTTAGCACTATCAATTAGAAACCTATGACATTTAATCTGACAGGAGATCAGAGATCAGATGAGAAATTCACAATGGCTGATATTGATGATCACAATGTGTACAATAAGCTACAGCCTACATGCATAATATCATCAGTTAAAGCAAGGATCAATCAAGAGAAAAAGAACATTTAACTTTAAACATAGCATTCATAAAGTCAAACTAGGAGAGAAAGCTCACCGCTAGACCTTCAATGGGACCTAAGTGGGATCTAAAATGCTTTGCAAACTCGATCCCAACAGCCTTTTTCTTCCAAAATTTCAAATGTCCTAGTATAAAAATAAAACAAAGAATAATCAGCAAGCTATTTATAAGATAGTACCCAAATTCATTCACAGGGAAATCAAGAAGCGTCTAATAAAACTAAAAAAAAACAAATGATAAATCAAGAAGCATCTATGTTCACTTAAAAGAAGACAAAAACTAATGGGTCTTTCAGATATTGTTTATGAATATTGACATCATAAAGCTTACCATCAACACTTCCGGTAATGAAAAAATCCGCAGCCGATACAGCAACATGAGTAACCACATCTCGATGCATATAGCTTTTCTCGTACCTAGAAAAAAAGTTCACAACTTAAAAGTGAAAACTTTTCTTATAGTACAAAGAAAATAAGGTTTATTTCGTCGTTTCCTTATGCTAGTCGTTTCTTCTTCTTTTTCACTTAAAAAAAAAAGCTTAAATTTCGAATTCAAAACCCTAAACCCCAAATGCAAAGAAGACAGTTTTATTAAACCCTAAAGAATCCAGGAGAAATGACAAGAACGAACCAATAGATAGAAAAAATACTCAAAAAAAATTGAAGTTACATGTTAGCCGAAGGAAGGGCATCGAGATATGCTTGTTCGAAAAGGAGCGGGCGCTTGGGACGGGATCGAGGGGCAGGCCCAGGTCCGACTATCGGCTCATCCTCCGCGATTGTACTCAAATTTCCGTTTTCATTTTGCGGTTCTTCCATCTGCGCTGCTCTTTTTTTCCCCTTCACTGTTTTCCTTTTAGAATCTCTTCTAGATGAATAAAAGATAGCGGAATTTGGAGACGACGAACTGAGGGGAAAATGCAGTTCAATGGGCTCAATATATTCCAAAATTTTACCCAATGGGTTCAGCGTTAAGACTATCACTATTAATTTTTTATTAGCGAATAACTAAAATAAAAATAAAACTAACGTTAGTAATGTTTTTTTTAAAAAAAGTTAAGTAGTCAAAATGAAATAAAAGTGATAGTTAAGGTAATAAAAGTATAGTTTACCCTATTTTATATTTGATTTTAGTTTAAAGTTAATTGATAAAATCAAAGTTTAATTAAAAAAATACGTATTATTCAAATTCATACAAAAAAAACACAACTCGAATCCCATCAATACAAAATATAATTTAATTAAAAAATAAAGATAACGATAATAAAATAAAAATAGAATTATAAAAAACAATAATTAAACCTAATCCCTGTAGTTTTTATCTATTTTGTATTCTAATTTTGAAAATTAATATATATCCAAATAATAATGATATGAATATGTATTAAATATTATATAACATATATGACAATATAAATAAAGTAATAAAGAAATAGTAAAAAGGACTTAAATGAACTTTAGTAAAACATTAAAAAAATCAACTAAATTCTGTATGAACCATGCAACCTCGATAGTCAAGGAATTTGTTGTTGTTTCTTATGGTTCGAGTTCGAGCATCACATATGTTAGGAGTATGAGTGTTCATTGTCAAATATTTAAAAGTTGTCATTGAATAGATATTACATTGTATTCATCCGAATTTAGAGATGACAACAGATCAGATTTTTTGGTTAACCCGACCTAACCCGAAATATATATATATATATCATCTACTATAACTTGATTCGACCCAAAAAATATATATGTATTCCACCCGATCCAATCCGACCCAAAGAGCATATTTCCTTCGCTCGAACCCGATTTGACTCAAACTTTTTAAAAATTTTAGACTAATGACATTGTGCTTAACTTGTCGACCAGCCTGAACAAATCTAAGAACCGTCTCATATGAAAATTTGGCTTCACAACACTATTCCGTAAAGTATGGTTATGTCATTGTGCTTAATACGTTTTTCTAATAGTCTAAATTAAGGCTCATTTGGCGTTTTTTTTTAAACATAATTTTAATTAAAAGATTCGTTTATCGTAAAATCAATGTCAAACGAGTAAAAAATGAAAAAAAAATTATTGTAAAAACGGTGGGTTTAAGTCAATTGCAAAAGTTAGGATTTGTAGCTTTTTCATTTTCAATTTTGCATTTAGGAACAAATTATAATCTTACCCTTATTAATGTACGAGCTCCGCTCATTTATGTATTTATATTTTATTTTAATAATTTAATATTAACATCCTTAAAAATAATTTATTACTTAAAAATTTATTTTAATTATTTAAAAGTAAATAAAATTCATGGTTTATATATTGAAATATTAATAATGTGTTATTATAAAATATATTTTTATTATAGTTTTAAGTGATATATTTTATATATCATAATATTAATAAGTGTAAATATAATTTAAATTATATATTTTTAATTCACAACATAATGTCTATAATGAATATTTTATCTTTTTAAACTCACTTTTTAACGTTAATTTCAAACAGTTAAATTTCAAATTGTACTTCTAAACAATAATTTAAAAGTTTTTCTATCGTACTTTTAAAAGTCACTTTTCAAAAGCAATATCAAACAGACCATAGTTTGTTCAGAATCTTTCTTAATCATTAATAATATATATATGTTGAAAACATTTTGATGTTTCGATATAACAAACTAAGTATAAATGAATTTTAAGATTTTACAAAGATTTTTATAAATATATTCGATTCCATTAATCGGATATCAAATTATTACTCCAAGTCTTTCAAGATCAATTTCAAACCTTACTAAATGTGTAAAATTGTGTTTTATACTTAAACTATTTTTAAAACAGTTTTCACAAAGTATTTTGAACCAAAATCAAGCCTAAAATCAATTTTTCAAAGTGATGCACCGATGCACCAATCCATGCATTGATGCACCATGGAATAAATTGAACATCGAATACATTTAATGCATCGATGCACATATCGTGCATCGATACACTCAGGGTTTTATGAAAACATCGAATGCATTTGATGCATCGATGCACAAGCCATGCATCGATGCACGCAGGCTATTTTGAAACATCGAATGCTCTTCATGCATCGATGCACTCTTAGTGCACCGATGCACTAAGGGTCCAACGGTCAAAATATTTGAATTTTACACTTGATGCACCGATGCACCTAGGGTATGCATCGATGCACTGATGCTCCCAACTGATTTTATTAATTGTTTTCACACTTAAACGGCTCTATTGACTCCACTAATCATCCCCAACGTTCAAAATCATTTGAAGGAGTATTTAAACAAGCTTAAAAGCCATTGATCAATAAGAGAAAACAACAAGAAACAACAAGCAACTAGAATCAAGAGAGAATCAAAGAGAAAGCATCAAACTCATTGTTTGAGCAATTAAAGCCTATTTTTTATTCAATATTCATTTTGCTTTCAAGAACACTACTTGTACTCAATTGTGTTCATTTTTTAGTGTTCTTTTCTTTGTTCTAGAATTGTGCAAACAATCTACCTTGTGAGGTTTTCCTTGTAAGTTTGTAAATTTGTAATCTTCTCTTTGAGAAAGAGTGTTCTCAAGAATTGGGGTATATTCTTGATGGAGTTGTAAGGTTATCTTTTTGGCCTCAAAAGAAAGAACAAATTAGTGAATTTGTTGGAAAATCCTTAGTGTGGATAGCTAAGGTAGTGGACGTAGACTTTGGTTGAGAAAGTCGAACCACTCCAAATCGTTGTGCAACTTCTTTCAATTTTCTTCAAAAGCTTCCACCAAATTTTTAATTGCCAAATCACCCCCTCTTGGACGATTCAGTCGATCGATTAACTCAACAATTGGTATCAGAGCCTCATTTTGATTAACCACCTCTTGAGTCGATTCGGGAAGAGTTAAATCGATAAAGATTATGTCCACTTCCGGTTCATTCTCCATGGAAGAATCCATACCAATTGACGTGCCTCCACACTTCAATGGAATAAATTATCGTCGTTGAAAGAGGTTCATGATGATATTTATCCAAGCACATGATATGGAAGCTTGGATGATAATCGAGAAAGGTTATTCCTTTCCTACGAAGAAGGCAAATAAGTGGAGTAATCAAGAATGGAAGAATGCTCAACAAAATACAAAGGCTATACACATGATATGTATGTTGAAAGATATTGTATGATGAACATAGTAATTTTTGGTAATGTTTTATTAACTCTAGTTCATCATATTAATTTTTGGTCAAAATTGTTTTTAAAATGTAATTGATATCTATTTAACAATTGATATCGATTTTTCAAGAAATTTGGTTTTACAAATTTTTGACCTTAAAATTTTTAATGATTTTGCATAGAATTCAATTTTTAATGATATCAATTTTTAATGCATAACATCTTCAAGAACTTTATGCATATGCACCTAATTTCGATAATCGTTATTGCATAACATTTTATATGTGAATAGATTAAAGCATAATCCGATTAGATGAATTTGACAAAAGATAGAATGTCTTATTTTTTTTAAATTAAGTGTTTGTAAAATTGATTGACATTGCATCTATTTTGATTATGCTTGTTGGTCATAGAATATGAAACATTTACATGGTGCATTTAGACTCTATTGATATGACTAATTTATGTCTAGTTGCTAAGGATGAGCATGATAGTTGGTTATGGCATAAGAGACTAGAACATGCTAGTATGAGTGTTTTGCAATGGTTAATTCAAGGAAATTTAGTTCGAGGGTTGCCTAAGCTTAAATTTGATAATGATAAAATCTTTGATGCTTGTGCTAAAGGAAAACAAAAGCGAATTTCTTTTAAATCCATTAATGATGTATCCACTAGTAGAGTATTACAATTGATCCACTTAGATCTTTTTGGGCCATCTAGAACTACTAGCTTGGGTGGAAAAAATATGCATTTGTTTTGGTAATTGATTATTCTAGATATACTTGGGTTCTATTCTTAAGTACTAAAGATGAAGCATTAGAAAAATTCATCACTTTTTCAAAAGTAATCCAAAATGAAAAAGGTTAATCTATAACTAGTGTTAGGAGTGATCATGTAAATGAATTTGAAAATCTTGGATTTACTGATTTTTGTAATTCAAATGGTGTTAGCCATAATTTTCAGCACCTAGAACCCCTCAACAAAATAGAGTTGTTGAGAGGAAAAATCGAACTTTAGAAGAAATGACTAGAATCATGCTTTGTGAAAACAATTTGCCAAAAATATTTTGGGCGGAAGACACAAATACCGCTTGTTATGTTATTAATCGAGTAATGATTAGGCCTATTTTGAAGAAAACTCCATATGAACTTTTTAAAAAAAACTAGCATTAGCTATTTTTATCATTTTGGATGTAAATGTTTTGTTTTAAACAACGATAAAGATAATCTTGGCAAATATGATGCTAAAAGTGATGAAGTAATTTTTCTAGTTTATTTCTTAAATTCTAAAGCTTATCGAGTATTTAATAAAAGAACTTTAGTTGTAGAATAGTCTATACATATTGTTTTCGATGATAATCCCCTTCCGAGGAAGGATTATTGTTTGAATGATGATGTAGGTATTATAAATATAAATGACGTTAGACATGACGTTGGAGAACCATCATCAAAGGAAAAAACGAAGGATGAGGAAACTCATGATCCTTTCAAGAATCCAACATTGAAGAAAGGGAAGTATCCTAACCAAGAGAGTACAACTATGTCAAGGATGGTGAGATTATATGTGATCCATCAAAAGGGGTAACAACTCGATCTTCTCTTAAAAATATTTGTAATTATGTTGCATTTATCTCATGCATAGAGCCTAAGAATATTAAAGAAGCATTAAATGATGAACATTGGATTATGGCTATGCAAGAAGAGTTAAATCAATTTGAGAGAAGTAAAGTATGGACATTAGTTGAAAGGCATAGTAATAAATCTACTG